ATAATGCTACATGAAAACTGCAAATTTTCGGCAAGCGACTTCCCCACTGAGCCACGAGAGCGTCTCCCTTGAATTTAAAACCGATGTTTTAATTTTGGAGAGTACTTCACATGAAGCCCCTGGGGCATTTTCAATATTAAAAAAAAAAATACTGCCATCGATTTTGATTAAATTTTGTTGGTGAATATTCTGAAGGGTGTTTAAGAGAAAGGTGTGGGCGTCATGTTCGTTAAAAACCTTGTTTTTTCGAAAATTGAAAAAATTTAAAATTGTTTTCGGCGTCTTCCTTCATCTACAATTATGAAGATCTTTTTTCTTAGTGAAATGTGTTCAATTACTGATCTCTAAATAAAATTATGTTTAATTTTTCAAAAACATGAGTATATTTTGCGATTTTTTTCAAGTAGGCAACTTTTATTTTCTTTACACCGCTTAAAAACCGCAGATTTTTTTTATTAAATTGGAACCTTAGTATAAAGGACGCTTAAGACAATGGTATATGTCTCATGTTTTACATGTCTCTGAGCAACTCGGGGTAATTGTGGATCAACGCAATTAAGTTAGGCGCATTCATGATTGCTTCACATAACTTCACAAATGAAACGGCGCGAAGGCCGCATCGACCGTGCCCATGAAGTCATGTCATGGGCACGTCGGAATGTTCACATCTTTCGTTCGGACTTGTTGCAAACGGCGGTAGGTCCGCCCGGCCCGGCCCGGCCCGGAGCCTGTACTAATTCAAACTTTTATTAAAACATAAGACCGGTAAGGGCCAAATTGTTTTTACCGTCTTGAAGAGAGATTTTACTTTCATTGAAAGTCTTTTTTGGAGGCATTTCACCGTGGTCGATCTAACGAACATATTACCTTAGTTTTATTTTCCTGCGGGTCGTGAGGCGGTGTCAATAGTATATAAAACGGCAGTAAAAAATTAACTTGCAAATATAATATTCGTAATTTAATTAGTTCATTAGTATTAGGTATTTATAAACTTTGTATGATGTTCTATGTCTAAGCGATTAAAATGTTGTACTCTGAATACAGATAGACATAAACGTTCTTGCAAAGAATTGATATTATTCGCCAAGCGTGTTTTGACAACGCCGCGCTGGCAACAGTGCGTTGCTCTCATCTGTGTAATTTGCTGCGAATAGTGTATCTGTCAAATTCCTTTTTTCTTATTTCATCTGTCAAAGTACGAAATGATTGCTGCTTCTATCGAAATTAATGCAGATGTGCATCACTGGCGCTTTGTTTGAATTGATCGTTTTCAAGTAATAGCTGAGGTATTAGTGTCGCAGCAAATGCAATTCTTCAATATTACTTAGGTGTTTCGAATAACGCAAGAAAGTATAGCTGTTGGAGCACCACTAGATTTTGGAATGTTTACCGAAGAACCAGTTTCATGATTGTAGTAGATGTAACCGGGTTTTTACCCAAATTTCTAAAAATAAAAAAAATAAAAAAAATGTTTATTATTACTTAAGTTACAAGGGAAACCGTAGAAAGAAGCCTTGTAGTGTAAATTTTACATTGTTAATTAGGACCGTTGTAACAATTTTTAATTACATTGATATTTTACTTATTCCATGAGGGGTTTCATGGATTCCATGAATTCATTGTGAAAAAATTATGGTAAGATTGCGCAGTTTAGCAAAGAGAAAATATATAAGAATCACCAAATTTACCTTTTGTTATTTGTATATACCCTCGCAAGCTGCTGAACGGCTATTTGGGATGCCAAAAAATTAATAGTGACCAAGACCCAAAAAACTGTCACTTTTTTCTTTCGCGAACTGGCGGCGCAGGTGTGTGAGGCAGAAATTAGAAAAAAGTTTGAATGTACATACTGATGCTATTACGTGGAAAGTAATGTGTATGAATGTGGTTGGACAATATTGTTGGTGCATATAGAATATATTTTTGTAGGTCTTCAAGAGTAGAAAACATAATTTCTTGGAAAGCAAGCGCTGAATGTTACTGTTCAATTCGGGAGGGGCCATTCAGAAGAAGCGACGCGAGATCCTCCTAGCTGATAACGCTCTCATCACAACAGGAATTCCGTTGGCAGATGTTTCACCATCCAACGTATAGTCCTAATCTCGTACCCCAGTAATTTCCATCTACCTTAAGAAATTTCTGTCCGGACAGCTTGTCACATTGTCGCAGAGTTGCAGGTGGCTGTCAAGCACTCGTACCTATCCCAGGCATCAGACTTCTACGACACCGGGATGGAAATGTTGATACCACACTACGACAAACGTCTCGGTGCTGATGGTAGTTAAAAAAATAGTAAAAAAAAAGTTCAAAAAATAGTCGTAAGATGTGCTGTTTGTATAAAGTATCTCCAGGGCTTTCAGTTTCTTGAAGACTTTCCAACGGACACTTCCTTTTTGTATGCGCTTCAAAGGCGGTTGTTCAGTAAAATCATGGACAAAAAAATTGCCTTCTAATCAGACTACGGGTTCGTTTTTCTGCTACCGTAATATCACGAGTGGATTGGAAATGACCGACAAATCGAGAGTCTCGAAGCAGCGACCTCGCCCAACCTGCGTCGCTGCTCTGCTATACCAATACGTTGTGTCTTGCATTGAACCAAATTTTGTTATTACTAGTGGTACTAAACCACGTACTTTCTCGCCCCTATTTTCACGCAAAAATACGTGAAAAGTACTCCAAGTTTTGAAAAATTGTACATGACCTTATTTCAAATCTTTTTTTAAAGAACAAATTTCTTTAAGGGAAGAAATCTCTAACTTCAAAATTTGTAGTTGTAGGGAGACTCCGAAAATATTTTGAAGTTTTACAATTTTCGAAAAATCACGGTTTTTAGCAAACGTGAGACCTGCCTTCACCATTCTCTTAAACGTCCTTCACACTACCCAACAATAAAATTTAACCAATAACAATGGGGCCATATTTTGTTGTTGAAAATTTTGATAATGACCCAAATGCTTCATGTAAAGCTACCCCCAAACCAAAAAAAAAAAAAAAAATTTGTTTCAAATTCAAGGGGCCGCGACATCTGCGAGATTGAATTGAGAATATATTTTTGGGATAAAATCGGCTGGACAGTTTCGCCACTAGCGTTGTTCACACCCGGCGAGTCAGACGTTTAGCTGACATTCGATATTTCGGCATCAATAAGCCACAAATCATGGATTCTGGCTACACCTCGTGATAAAGTTTTGTCCTAAATTTAGCAACAGGATTTATCGACTTTTTCGTTATCTACCGAAAATTCGCAGTTTTGCCGCGCAACATTACCTCTCTCTCTTTCCCCTCTCTCTCTCTTTCTCCTTCTCTCTCTCTCTCTCCTCTTTGTCCTCTCTCTCTCTCCTCTTTGTCCTCTCTCTCTCTCTCCTCTTTGTCCTCTCTCTCCTCTTTGTCCTCTCTCTCTCCTCTTTGTCCTCTCTCTCTCCTCTTTGTCCTCTC